CAAGTGACCTGATGGTAGAAATAGCTCCGCTGTCCTACAAGAACATTATGGTGGCCAAGTTGAGAACAAATTGTTCACAAAAATAATGTATACCTCAAATATTAAAGCTGGTAGTGTTCAAGAAAGATTGTTTTTTACTAAAATAGCATTTTTTACAAAAATGACAAAAATATTTGCCAAAAATCGAAATTAAAGTTATTTTCTAAAATGAACATATCTGACAGGCCCCACCCAAGGTACCTGCATACCAAGAATCTTGTACCGGGTAATTTACAAGAAAAAGTTGAAAATATCATTTTTTACCAAAAATGACAAAACTATAGAATTGAACTATGTCTGTCGGCTGATATAGCTACGCTGTTTGTGATGCATGCTCTGAAAGCAATGACTAAGAAGCAATTTAAACTTAATGCTAGCTGCTTTAATATCGCAAGACACCAACTTCCATGCTTTTGTTGCAGAGAATATTTCACTAAAAGTAGAGAATTGAAGATATCCTTACGAAATGGACAAATCTAATAGAGGTCTACCCAAGCTGCATGTGTACAAGAATTTGGACCACTGGTTTTGAAGGACAAGTCAAAAATATGTTTTTTGATGAAAAATGAAGAGAATATTTGCTAAAAATAGAGAATTGAAGATGTTGACAGGAAGTGAACCCAAGGTACTTAGAAATAAAGTTATGAAGCAATCAGGTTAGAGGTTTTCGAAAACAAGTTGAAAATAAGGTTTTTGACCAAAAATTACAAAAATATTCATCAAAATTAAAGAATTGAAGATATTGTCACAAAATCAACAAAGCTGACAGAGGTCCACCTGATGTACCTACATATACAATATCAAAGCAATCAGACTAGCAGTTTTTAAGGAGAAGTCGAAAATATAATTTTTTACCAAAAATTACAAAAATATTCATCAAAATTAGAGAATTGAAGACATTGTCACAAAATCAACAAAGCTGACAGAGGTCCACCTGATGTACCTACATATACACTATCAAAGCAATCAGACTAGCAGTTGTCAAGAAGAAGTCGAAAATATAATTTTTTACCAAAAATGACAAAAATATTTATCAAAATTAGAGAAATGAAGATATCATCACAAAATTAACAAATCTGAGAGGGATTCACCCAAGGTACCAACATACCAAGTATCAAAGCATTTGGGCTAGCGGTTTTCAAGAAGAAGTCAAAAATAGCATTTTTGACCAAAAATGACAAAAATATTGATAAATTATCTGCGTTTCGTAGATTAGCAGATAATTGCTATCTATTCGTATGTAAATTATTCAGGTGCCATTGCACCTGCTCCGATTGGTTAGTGGCTAAGTAGCCAGGTGCTCATGAGTATATAGTAAGAAGAGTATTCTATTGTATTAAGTCTCGGTTGCAAACAACGCACGATGTCCACACCAACGGAAGGCCTCAGCGAACAGATAACACCACCACCACAAACACCAGACTTGCCCGACGATGTTACTAGCATACTACCATCGTGGTACAAGACTGTTTGGCGAAATTTAAGTGTGTGGGTCGCAGTCCGATCTGTCATGACTAAATAATTTTGTAAATATGTATTTAACGTAAATAATTTATGTCGCATCATTTTGTATGCTTGTTTACCTTCTTACAGGGGATGTAGCCTCTCGGCATATTCATCTTTCGGCATGTCTGTATAGATATTCGCCTTTCGGCATGTCTGTATATATATTCACCTGTCGACATGTCTGTATATATATTCGCCTTTCGACATGTCTGTATATATTCGCCTTTTGGCATGTCTGTATATATATTCGCCTTTCAGCATGTCTGTATATATTCGCCTTTCGGCATGTCTGTATATATATTCGCCTTTCGACATGTCTGTATATATTCGCCTTTCGGCATGTCTGTATATATTCGCCTTTCGGCATGTCTGTATATATTCGCCTTTCGGCATGTCTGTATATATTCGCCTTTTGGCATGTCTGTATATATTAGCCTTTCGGCATGTCTGCATATATTAGCCTTTCGGCATGTCTGTACATATTCGCCTTTCGGCATGTCTGTATATATTCGCCTTTTGGCATGTCTACATATTCGCCTTTCGACATGTCTGTATATATATTTGCCTTTTGGCATGTCTGTATATATATTCGCCTTTTGGCATGTCTGTATATATTAGCCTTTCGGCATGTCTGCATATATTCGCCTTTCGGCATGTCTGTACATATTCGCCTTTCGACATGTCTGTATATATTCGCCTTTCGGCATGTCTGTATATATTCTCCTTTCGGCATGTCTGTATATATTCGCCTTTCAGCATGTCTGTACATATTTGCCGTTT